GAACATTTATCAAATTTGCAGATGATACAAAATCGTACGGGATAGTTAATATCCTTGAAAGCAGAAATTACATTTAAAATGGTATCGATCTATCGGAGAACTCAATTGAGAAGTAACAATTACAGTTAATAGAGATGTAAAGTATCTCCACTCGGGACACAAAAATCAAATGCACAGGTATAAGCTTGCCAAAAAAAAAAAAAGATATGGGAATACTGGTTGCTTGCAAATGGAATATGAACAGGCAAGTATAATTTGGCTTCAAGGAAGGCAGATGCCTTGGTCAGATCCTACTGTAGGAATTATTCCAGTTATGGGCACCACAATTTTAGGAGAACTTGGAGAAATTGAAACAGAGAATGACAATGAAGGTAATCAAAAGCTGAGTGCTGCAAGTTGGTACCAATTACCTAGAGAAGTGCTGGGGCTTCATTTATTGAATATGTTAAACAGAGGCTAATTAGCTTCTGTTGATAATAATTTAAACTGGATTTCTTTTTCATATATGCACCCATTAGACAATGGCTAATCCTGGCTGGAGAGTGAAACAGTACCTGGAGACAAAAATCAAAACCAATAATATGCCTCTTTAAAGTCCTTGATGGTAGGGTTGGACTGACTATTCAAGCCAATATCAAACAACCTGTTATGTCCTTATAAGGACATCTGCCGGGGATTGGCTAATCCACCGGCGGGAGATTTAAACACCTGTCGTTGGGTGGCTGAGTCTGCCGGAGCGTATAAAAAGAGCCCCGGCAGCACAACCGCTCGTTCTTGTTTCTGAGCTGAATAAAGGTTCTGAATGGACCATTGCTGGTCGCGTCTTTCTTTCCCTGCACCGATCTAACACAACCCATCACAATAGGAATAGGAATAGGATAGGAGTAGGAGTAGGAGTAGGAGTAGGAGTAGGAGTAGGAATAGGAGTGAGTAGGAGTAGGAGTAGGAGTAGGAGTAGGAATAGGAGTAGGAGTAGGAGTAGGAATAGAATAGGAATAGGAGTAGGAGTAGGAGTAGGAGTAGGAGGGAATAGGAATAGGAGTAGGAGTAGGATTAGGAGTAGGAGTAGGATTAGGAGTAGGAATAGGAATAGGAATAGGAATAGGAATAGGAATAGGAATAGGAATAGGAATAGGAATAGAATAATCAGAGTTGGAAGGGATTGGAGGTCTTCTAGCCCAACCCCCTGCTCAAGCAGGAGACCCTATACCACTTCAGTCAGGTGGCTGTCCACTCCAGTCTTCTTAAAAGCCTCCAGTGATAAAGCACCCCACAACTTCTGAAGGCAATCCGTTCCACTGGTTTCTTCTTCTACCAGGAACTTTCTCCTTAGTTCTAAAGTTGGATCTCTTTTTGATTAGTTTCCATCTGTCCAAAGAAGATCCCCTCTTCTTTGTGGCGCCCTTCAAATATTGGAACACTGCTAACATGTCATTCCTGACTCTTCATCGCCTCCCTCAATAGTTTTGAACAAAACTTGGTCAAATCAGAATACCCAGACAGTCTTAAGACTTTCTGCAGTATCATTTAGCTAAAAAAATCACCTTATTTCTTTAGCTTAACATTAACTTAAAGAATGATTCTTCACCAGCAAGTGCTTTTTAAAAAAAATGCTACAGAGGGCACAATCTTTTTGTCCCCGTGTCATCCCATTGTGTGATTGGAGGCACAGTTAGATGATTAGAGGCAAAGTACAGACCTGACCAGAATGGAGGAACATAGTATTTGATATTAGGTTGTGCAAACCCTTGAAGAGATATTTCATTTCTGCAAAGATTTGAGTGTTGTACGAGCTCCAACATCCTCAGGTACTTGCAAAGGCAAAAAAGATAGCATTTGCACATAGCTTTTACTGAGTAGCTCATCACCAAAGGATCCAGATGCTGGTGAAGAAGGCTTAAGGACATTCTTCACAGCCTATTCTAATGCATGAAGTCCAGAAGCATTTCAAGGTGATTACAAATTGCTTGGCGGGGGCAACTCCTGTTTCTGTGTTTTGACAAAATGATTCCATATCAAAATGAAGCTGTTTCATCAAGGGAAATCTAAGTCTGCTTGCACAAGTCTGTTACAAATTCTCTATATTCTTTGGGTATCAAGCCATCTTTTTCCAAAGTGCCAGTCTTAGAACACCTGGCAAGAGGATGTGCTGTGAGTAAATCTGTACGCAGGGGAGGAAAAGTTTAATATCCAACTTCCAGCATATCCCTGATTTGGGGAGAAAATTGACCGGACTAAATATTACACCCACCATCCCTCATTGCTCACAATGAGAACATCCACAACAATATACTAGTCCAGGACAAGCCATGTTCTTATTTCTGCTCTATCAAACTGTAACAAGCAGGGAAATAGTATTTTGGCACGTTTGAGGTTGGAGCGCTCTCCAAGTAAATGATTTCTTTGCTCTAAATTACCTCTGCAATGCATTTTTATTTTAGTACTCATTCGAAAAAGCAAATAGAAAAATCCTGTTAAAATGATTAGCATGGGTTCTTTAACCAATGGAATGTATAATTTAAGCATTATTTGAATAAAATAGTACATGATTTAAAATGGACAGATTACTTAACCCTGCACTTCGAAAGATTTAAAAATTGCTAAGTATTGCATTTGAAAAAGCTGGTAAAGTCCAAAGAAAGATTATATCCAGGAGATAATATTTGCCCATGAAGGGCAGATTGGATCATTTCATACAGGAATTTGCAAGTGCCAGACTCAAGTATTTGTCTTTATATATTGTACAATGAAAACTCAAGGCGAACAATATAGAAAGATAAAACATTAAATGCACATGCTATACACACACACACACAGAGAGCAAGAGATGGAAAACTCTTACCAACCTCACATATTGCACAGTGTTGCTGAAAGCCATGTGGGTGATTAAGTAAGATCCAATGAAGCTGATTAAGGAAGGGGGAACAAAGATTCTGTTTATGCCTTTGATGACATTTCATCTCTACCTTATCTTTTGGATATATCAGGAAGATCAAAGACACTTTAAACTGCATGGTTCTATGAAAGAACAGTATTGATGTTGGTCTTAGTATGAGCTGGTCTATCAGAGAGTCTTCATGTTCTCTACCAAGTAGTAAAATACAAGCTTTCACCTTTGTTCAGTCAGGATCATATAATCAATTAAGAAAGATTTTCGATCTGATTCTGCTATCTGATTATGATGATACATCATCAAGTCAGGGCCAATGCTTAGTTACCATATAACTCATTGTTTCTCAACAATGACCTTCTTGTTCTGTCCCCGTCTCACACACGCATACCAGCAGTCGACCAAGAATTAAAATAAACCAGCAGACAAGAATTTTCTTTGATAACAGAATTGGCAGCAACCCAGTGGCTGCTTGCCAACAGTCTTTACTTACAAAGGGAGGTTTATCTCCTCCGACCGAAAACATCAAAGTCCACAAAAGCCAAAGAATAGTCAAGTCCAGTCCAAAAAATCAGTCCAAGCAGAGCATATAACAAAGTTCCAGAAATGCAGAATGACTTGCTAGCTTTCAGTTTTGTCCATCACAAAGCCTGAACGGCCACCACACCCGCTTTTATCCCCTGTGGGGTATGGTCCAGTGATCTCTGGCACGCTTCCTTCTCTGGCATGCCTCCTTCTCTGCTGCGTGCGCTTGTCTTTCCGACGCTGTCGGGGATCCAGCCAAGACTTATCTCCGTCGCTGTCTAACTGCGGCTGCTCGGAAATGCCTGGCTCCTGGCCTATCTCTTCTCCTTCAGAAGACACCTGAGGCATTGCCAGAGAGGAGGGTCCTGGAGAGGGAGGCCTTGCCAACTCCTCTCCTTCACTTTCGGAGTCTTCTCCCTCCAATAAGATGGGCTCGGGGGTCGGAGTCACAACACTTCTCCTTAGGTGGTCCTTCAGTTATTTCAAAGGTGCACCCATCATTGCTGAAATCAGATCGATCCACCATGTTGCTAGTTCTCTTTTTCTCTTTTCCCAGCATTGTACACTTCTCAAAAGTTCTAGGTCTTTGCCTCCAAATTGTTGGAAATGCAAAAAAGTCCCTGGAACATATTACCATCTCTGGTGGACATGTCCTAAGGTGAAAAAATATTGGGCTAAAATTAGAAGTTGGACAGAAGAGATAATTGGCCACAATGTGGACCTGAAACCAGAGATGTTTTTACTAGGGATATTAAACAGAACCTACAGTAAAGAAACCCGATATTTGATTTTGCATGTAATTACAGCTACAAGGATAGTCTACGCACAACAGTTCTGGAAAAATGGAAATGTACCAACAGAGGAAGAAATAATTAAGAAAATTCTGGACTGTGCGGAGATGGACAAATTAACAAAAAAAATAAAAGAAAAGGAAGATACAGAATACTATCAAATATGGAATAAGTGGTACGATTGGCTTAATATTAGGGAAAGTAAATGTGAACAAATGATGGAGAGGAGAATGTGATAAATGTGTAAAATATTGTAAATGAATAAAATTAGATATAAAGGGACGATAAAGATAATGATAATAAGGGATGGAAAAAATGGGGAATGTATAAAGTAGAAAGTAAGGGGAACTGATATGTAAAAAGAAACACTTTGTGTTCTTTATGTTGTGTTGTGTTGTTGTTGTAAAATCAATAAAAAACTTTAAGTTCTAGGTGTTTGCATAAAGTGTCTGCTATATATACTATTCTATATAGGTGCAATGTTGCCACACCAAGGCCATTTGGGTTCTCAGCTTTGTTTTTGCACTTTTATTAACATTATTGTAGGAATGGTGCTTAATAAACATTTCTGTTACAGGGCACGTCTCTGGAGGGATCTTTCTTCTGTTCTTAATTAAGAGATCAATAGCCAGGTTAATTATGCCTTAACCCCTTCACAATTTAATTTGTTAACACATTATTGTGGTTCCCTCTGAATTTTAAAGTTGTTGCTTTAATTTACTTTTTGTGCCTGGGTTCTACTTACTTTTTCTTTTTACTCAACACAAATGTACTGGAGCACTGAATTGAATATTGGAGCATCGTGAACCATGAGTGTCTACAGAAGAGGCAATAACAAAAGAAATGCTGATATTAGTACGCAGGTATAACTAAATGGAATTACTTTATAATGTCAATATCTTTTTGGCTTCATCGTGGTTGGTTAAAGATGCTACTGCAATGAACCTGGAAAATTCTTGAGTTGGGAATCCCCAAATTCCATGCCAGCCTTCGTCATAAGAAACCTTAGCACATTTCCTGAAATATCAATTAAAAAGTATCTCTAGATGAGGTCTTGGAGAAGTTGCCAGTTCTAATTGTGGATGAATGTGACTTTCATGTATATAGAAGTTTCACATGTCCATAATTTGCTCTGGCAAGGCATACATATTTTACCCCCAAAGTCTCAAAGGAAGAAAAACTCATGTGTGTAATGTATCGTTCTTCTTGATTACTGGTACTCTAGGTACAAACCCAATAACTAAGACTGGAAAAAGGTTTTGGTGTTAGTAATGGAAAATGAATACCAATTGCAGCTGGAATTTTCCTCCTGGATGTCAAAAAAACTGTTGGCCTGCTGCCAGGTGCAGTAGATTTTTGTAGAGAATAAGGAAGATGGCCTTGATGGATACCTCCACATTTCACATAGGTATAAGAAGGGGAGGAGGTACATCACAATCAAACTTGCAGGATTTTGTTATTATAGCGGTTCTGAATAAAAGTAGTCCTTAGCCTTCCTATGGAATTGATTCTTGATTTGGTCTATCTGGTTAGGGTTTTTGGACAATTTTGGAGAAAGCTTTGCCGATGTTAGAAGGTGTAAATTTTATTGTGGAAAGGACCTAGGAAGCGTCCATATACTAGAACGGCAAGCTTAATATTGGGTTTAATGGCTACTTAAAATGATCTAATATGATGCACTTTCCAGTCTTTCCTCTTCTAATTAGAAAAAGCATGGCTTGACAGGTTCTGACCTTGCAACTCAAGAGCCCAGGGGCTCTTAAATATCTGCAGATGAATCTCAGAAAGAATAATACTTGCAGCTCTGGAGCAATCAGGTCATCAGCCCCCTGTTGCAAAAACACATGCAAGCTGAACCGGCTGGTTCAGAGCCTAGGCAAGAAAGGATTATTAGCCTTTCTGAATGCAGAATGATCAAGTGAGTAGAATAGAGATATTCAATGGAATTTCTCAAAAGGAAGAGACATAACTCTGAAAAACAGGGAAGATTAAATCAATGCTATAAAAGAAGAGCCTGGGATTGAGGTTTCCGTTGGCAAATAATGTTCTAACCTCTGCTCTGGCTTCCTGTGCATATGCTACTTTTGATTCTCTGATTCCTTTTGATTTTGTGACTATTCTCCAAAGCACCTGAAGGCAGGACAAGAAGCAATGGATGGACACTAATCAAGGAGATTAGATTAACCTAGAATTAAGGAGACATTTCCTGACAGTGAGACCAATTAATTAGTGGAACAACTTGCCTCCAGAAATTGTGGGTGCTCCAACACTGGAAGTTTTTAAAGAAGAGACTGGACAACCATTTTGTCTGAAATGGTGTAGAGTTTCCTGCTTGAGCAGGGGATTGGAGTAGAAGACTTTCAAGGTCCCTTCCAACTTTGCTATTATGTTATTCTGATACAAGACTATATTCAACTTTGATTCTGAATCCTACATTTGTCTGCCTGGAACTTGGGGTTCTGAAGTAAGCCCTGTGGGTTTCCTAAACTTTTGCATCATTCCTGCATTATGGTGAGATTTTAACCTTCCTGGAGACCTTTGATCTGCATCTGGCTTTTCACATTTGTAGCTGCAAAGGATGTTCAGCTACTTTGAAACATACCGCAATAAGGGAAAGAAAGCTATACATAACAAAGGGATGAGGGGAATTTGCAACAATGATGATTCTATCAATCCATTTCTTCTTCTGGTAGCCTGTGAGGTCCCCTCAACTGGTCATATGATTACAAAGTTGTTTCCAAAAAGTCTCAGAGGAGTGGCATCATCCATAGCAGGAAGACAGTGCCTACACCTAATCCGAGGAGTGAACCAGAATTTCCTCTATAGGGAAATCTTTTTTTCACCAATCCTGGGTGGGAAGTGTTACAGGTGTTCAGCATGGACCAGGGACAACATTGATAGAAACCAGTGGTTAAGTTAGGGAAGAGATGTAGGATGTGTGGCCATTTTATTTTGAAGCATAGACCCTTTCCCTTCCTGTCTTCTTTCAGATGCTTCAGCAAATACCATATATGAAGTTATAAGTACCGCTGAATCTTTGTCAACTAGGGTTTTATACAGACTCCTCCTCCCTCCTTCCCCTTTTAAAGAATAGAATAGAATAGAATAGAATAGAATAGAATAGAATAGAATAGAATAGAATAGAATTCATTATTGGCCAAGTGTGATTGGACACACAAGGATATTATTTGTATATCCTTTATTTAATGTAAAGGGCCTTTCTCCATGGTTCAGGAGATACATTCAGAGAAAGAAAATCAAATTTAATCTATTCATGACATTTTCCTCAATATTACCCATCAGACTACAGTGCTCACTTTAGGCATGAAAAACTGGCTGAGTGACTTTGGACAAGTCACTCTCTCTCTCTCTCAGCCCAAACGAGGGTGGTTGTGGGGAAAATAGGAGGAGGAAGGAGTATTAGGTATGTTTGCTGCCTTGAATTATTTATAAAAATAATAAAGGTGGGGTATAAATAAAATAAGCAGATAGAATGGTGTGTCTTCCCTCTTTATGAAATGAGGAAATACAATTAAAGTAAATTGTGTCTTACAAGAAACATATACAATTTGAGGTATAGGTTTTCTTCAGATTGCACTTGTTGGTTGTAAAACACAGGTCCCGGATCCTGAAATCCTCAAAAAACTAAAGTCATTCCCCCCCAAAGCAATGATTCCCCAAACCCTGTAACATATGTCTGCCCCATTTGTCAAATTGTACACATATTTTGCAACATTATGGGTCCTACTTCTGTCTAAGGTTGTGACTGACAGGTTCACATGGCTGATGTCAATCTGCATGCAGGAGAGCAAGAATTACATAAACTTCAGGAAGGTACCATTAAACTTTAGCTTTGGGGTAAATGCAGAATCTTGAAAACCATCAGAGAAATTTCAGATCCTCATTTATTAATGAGTTAATCAAGAGGCAGTCTCTTTGAAATACTTCTTCCTGCTTTTTTTGACACCAGGGCTGAGTTGCCAATTATAAATTATATTATAAAATAAGCTACTAACGTACTGTCATGGGATTGCTATTGTGGAAGAGAACTGGAGCAATAAAGTGGGTTGCCTTGAGCCTCTAGAACAAAGACAGGATATAAATCTAAAAATAAAAGTAGCATATTTTTATTTATTTCACTTTCCCCCCATCTTTATTATTTTTATAAATAATTCAAGGTAGCAAACATATCTTATACTCCCTCCTCCTATTTTCACCCCCACCACAACAACCCTGTGAGGTAGTTTGGGCTGAGACAGAGTGATTGGCCCAAACCACCCAGCTGGCTTTCATGCCTAAGGTGGGACTAGAACTCACAGTCTCCTTATTTCTAACCTGGTGCTTTAACCACTAGGCCAAGTTGAATGTTAAGGGTCTTCTTTGCCATTGGATGCAGTGGTGGGATTCAAATTTTTTTTACTACCGGTTCTGTGGGTGTGGCTTGGTGGGCATGGCTTGGTGGGCGTGGCAGGGGAAGGATACTCCATTGTCTCCCCACTCCAGGGGAAGGTTACTGCAAAATCCCCATTTCCTCCCAATCAGCTGGGACTCGGGAGGCAGAGAATAGATGGGGGTGAGGCCAGTCAGAGGTAGTATTTACCATTTCTCCAAACTACTCAAAATTTCCGCTGGTCAGAACCTGCTGAATACCACTTCTGATTGAATGGTAATAAGTGTTGCATCCTTCGTTTCCACCTTTAATAACTGAGCATGTTGCATTCAGCCTCCAACATCTGTATTCTTCTGAGTGAGCCTTTTCATTTCTAGTCTAAAGCCTTCTTCCAATCCCAATAACACATTGCTTAAAATCTCATTCCTACACAAAGACAAGCGTGAACATAGTTATCATGTCATAAGAAGCCGGTCTTTCAAACAAATCTATTTTTCCGTGCTAATGTCCGCAGCCTCTTTCATTCTTCAGTTATTGGTTTCCAGCCTTTAAACATTCCATATTAACACAGCAATTACAAAGTGGTTGCTTGTTTCCTCAGAACTTGGATAAAATATTCATTCCCCGTCATGTACTTGCATAATGTTCAGCTGCTTTGCCTATAATGCACTGGCTATAAAACCAAGTCACCCAAATCGATAACCAGAAAGTATCACATCTTTAACATAAATTATGTAGGGACAGTTAATCCTCGGTGTCAAGGCATGTTACCTTTCACTCCCCCCAGCTTAAGTAATTTAAAAGATAATTTCCCTCTGGAATTAAGGAAGGAAGGGAGAAAAAAAGGAGCATTGTACTCCATGCAAACTAAGTCCAATCAGCAGTTCCAGTGTAAGTGGTGGGGAGGGATAAGACTTCAAAAACCTTTTGCACAGACTGATGAAAAAGGCATTGTAGGATTGCTGCCTGATTTAGCCTGCTCATATTATTTTACTGGCATGATGGGGAATGATAGGCTCAGTGCTGAAGTAAAATATTTTATGTTGTGTTCCAACACAAAAATATTTCTGGCAGCCTAACTAGTTCAGTTGCTTAGAATAGCCCAACTCCTGGGCTTTGTCCCAGTGCCAGGCCGCAGCCCATTTGAAACCGGGCCATGGAAGTGGTAGGCGAGCGCATGCATGTACATGCATGTCAGGGGTGGGTTCTACTTACCTTTACCCAGTGGTGGGTTCCTCCCGGTTCCTCCCGGTTCCGCTGAGCCGGTAGCAGTGATGATATGACATCACCGAACCGGTTCTGCCCCCCCGCCCTCCCCGTGTTATTCTTACCTTTTATTTGGCCTCACCCCCAATCTATTGCTGCCTCCTGAGTCCCAGCTGATGGCTAGAGGGAAAAAAACTGTTTAAATTCTTGCCGTGGGGCTT